TTAAAAAAAAAAAAAAAAAAAAAAAAAAGAACGGCAGCATTTCTAGGCATTCATAGACACACAGCAGCCCAGGACGAGCCTGGTGCTCACAGGGGTGACTCCGCCTCTTCCCCGAAGCCAGAACTTGAGCAACAACTTATCTCCCCACCTGGGTTTCTTCATCATTGCAAGGAATCTACCTGGGAGCCCTGGGTGGGGACGAAAGGAACTGAGGCATGCAGCACGCTTATGGAATTCAGTGGGGTCAATTACTTTGATTGTTCCTTTATTCAGTGTTTCTTGACCACCCTGTACCATGGTAGGCCCCATGGGCAAGACAACATATAAATTACCCTGTGAACTCAGGGACAGACAGAAAGTACACAAATAATTAAAAGCAACATTGAAGAGATTTCAGAAGAGAGTTGGGCCTGGAGAAAAGTTGCTTGGGAGGTAAGAATTCTGCCCGGGGCGTCAGGAGCCCTGGGTCAGGTCAGGCTGACTCATTCGGTGACTTTCACAATGTCCTTCTTCTCTGGGCTGTTTTCCTCATCAGCCAAATATAGATGTAGCCTTAGATCCCCTCTAAGATTCCTTCCATTTTCTTTCTTTCTTTCTTTTTTTTTTTTTTTTTTGAGATGGAGTTTCGCTCTTGTTGCCCAGGCTAGAGTACAATGGTACTCTCGGCTCACTACAATCTCCGCCTCCTGGGTTCAAGCAATTCTCCTGCCTCAGCCTCTTGAGTAACTGGGATTACAGGCATGCACCACCATGCCTGGCTAATTTTTGTGTTTTTAGTAGAGATGTGGTTTCACCATGTTGGTCAGGCTGGTCTGGAACCCCTGACCTCAGCTGATCCACCCGCCTCAGCCTCCCAAAGTGCTGTGATTACTAGCGTGAGACACTGCGCCTAGCTGGCTGGCTTTATTTCTTTCCTTCTTTCTTTCTTTCTTTTTCTTTCCTTTCTTTCTTTCCCTCCCTTCCTTCCTTCCTTCCTCCCTTTTTTCTCTCTCTCTCTCACTTTCTTCCTTTTTTTTTCAAGATAGAGTCTTGTTCTGTTGCCCAGGCCGGAGTGCAGTGGCTTGATCATGGCTCACTGCAACCTTGACGTCCCAGGCTCAAGCAGTCTCTTGCCTCAACCTCCCAAGTAGCTGGAACTACAGAAAAGCACCACCACACCTGGCTAATTTTCTTTTTTTTTATTTTTTAGTAGAGACTAGGTTTCACTGTGTTGCCCAGGCTGGTCTCAAACTCCTGAGCTCAAGCGATCCTCCTGTCTTGGGTTCTCAAAGTACTGGGATTACAGGCATGAGCCACTACACGCAGCCTCCCTTCCACTTTCCACGATGCTAAATATCTGAAGGTCTCTCATTTAGGAGAAGATAAATTATACCTACTCTCCATGATTCCCAGGGATACAACCAGACTGAAGTGTGGAAGCCAAAAGAGGCAAGCTTACTCAGGTGAAGGACTTTCTGAGGTGCTCTGCTGCTCTCAGGAGGCCACCTCCTCCTCATCCCAGTGCAGCAGCCTGGGGTTTGTAAATTAGGTGGAGAGTCAGAATGGGGGACCACACAGTCCTCTCCCTCCACGAATCCACAAATTCAACCTCAAAAACAGCTTTGGGTTTGCAGAGCATCTGCGAATTTACCAAGCAAGTCTAATTTCATCCTGGCAGCAGATCTAAAAGACAGCAGGGCAGAGACTCAGGTCCCGGTCCTCAAGGAGGCAGGCAGGACGAGGACCCTGGGGATGGGCGAGGGAAGAGCACCTGGATATGATGTGAGTTACACTTTAAGGGAGATGTTGGCTCATGCCTGTAATCCCAGCACTTTGGGAGGCTGAGGCAGGAGGATCACTTGAGATCAGGAATTAGAGACCAGCCTTGGCAATATAGTGAGACCCCCATCTCCACAAAATAAAAAATTTTAGGGTTCGGGCATGGTGGCTCACGCTTGTAATCCAAGCACTTTGGAGGCCAAGGCGGGCGGATCACCTGAGGTCGGGAGTTCAAGACCAGCCTGACCAACATGGTGAAACCCCGTCTTTAAAAAAATAAAATAAAATAAAATAATAAAAATAAAAATAAAAAAATTTAAAAATTGGCCAGGCACAGTGGCTCATGCCTGCAATCCTAGCACTTTGGGAGGCCTAGATGGGCAGATCACCTGAGGTCAGGGGTTCCGCCTGGCCAACATGGTGAAACCCCGTCTCTAGGCTGGGTGCAGTGGCTCACGCCTGTAATCTCAGCATTTTGGGAAGCCAAGGTGACGGGATCACCTGAGGTCAGGAGTTCAAGACTATCCTGGCCAACATGGTGAAACCCCATCTCTACTAAAAACAAACAAACAAAACTAGCTGGGTGTGATGGCCGGTGCCTGTAATCCCAGGTACTCAGGAGGCTGAGGTAGGAGAATCATTTGAACCCAGGAGGCAGAGGTTGCAGTGAGCCGAGATCGCACCACTGTACTCCAGCCTGGGTGACAGAGGGAGACTCTATCTCAAAAAAAAAAAAAAAAAAAAAAATGGGCAGGAAGCTCATAGTCATCTGTGTATATAATACACAAAATATAAATTATACACCAAATAGCAGAATATAATCAGTGTGGGGTTAGTGGCAACAAGAGCTGGCAGGGGCTGTGGGAGGAGTTTGTGTCTCACTCTGCCCTTCCCTCTCCAGCTAGACATTTCTGCCTCTGTCCCTGTTCTCTGCCCCTCTCTCTCTCTCTCTCTCTCTGTGTGTGTGTGTGTGTATGTGTGTGTTTCTCTGTTTCTCTCTCTCTCTCTCTCTTTCTCTCTCTTTCTCTCTTACTCTTTCTCATTCCTCACACCTCACACTGGCTCCCACTCTCCTCAACCACAGGACACGGAGGAGGAGAAGATGCAACCCCTGTCCTTGAAAGGTTTGCAGCTGGGCAAACACCAGGCCGACCCATCCACAGGAAACCCCTCGGGGCCAAGGCCCAGCAGAGTCCTCTGTTTTGGCACCAGAAACAAAGGATTGTTCCAGGGATTAGAGAGAAGGAGCCAGCCTGGCTGGCTGGGAGGGGGAGGAGGAGGAGCAGGGAGAGGGGCTTCCTGGAGGGGTGGGCCTCACACTGACAGCAGACAAGGATGAATGGAATGTTCCTTTGCCGAAGAGGGGCCAGGTGACCCCCCTCAAGACTGAAGGGCTTCAGGGAGTGCTCTCGAAGCAAGCTCAGAGACACATCCAGCATCCTCCACCTTCCCGGTCCTGTCCAGGAGAAATGGAGTGGCGGAGGAGAGCCAGGACATGAAGAAAGGCACGTAGCATGCCTGGGGGCAGAGAGGGGTGAAGAACGATCCAGGGGCTGGGATCCTAACACTCCTGCTGAATTGGAACTCCCCTCCTGTAATAGCCTCTCCAGTGGCCCCATCCCAGCTGCACAGACAGGTATCCCTGGGCAGAGGTCAAACAGCCACAACGGAACAATCCCAGAGAGGCCATTGCCTCCATCCTTCTGTCTCTACATTCTCTGAGACCCCCAGGAATCAGTTCAGGACTTCACTCTGGTGCTCTTATTTTCTCAGGACATGACTTCTGTCGGGGAGACGGGCCGAGTCAGTGAGGCTTGGGACTGGGGGTCACAGGACAGAAAGGACACTCTGGGGAACCGCTGTGGGTAGACTGAACCTCTGGGATGTCCCCAGGGCCCATAAGCTTCAGACCAGCCCCCTTGCTTTTGAATTTCCACCCACCTGCCTCTTCATTCCCCACACCCACTGTCTTGGGTTGGGCTGAGGTAAGGGCATGGAGAAGCCACATGGCACTCAGTGTATGGAATCCTCCCCCGGACTCTGCCAGGCCCTCTGGTCCAGAGTGGGTCACGCTGTCCTGTGCTACCTGGGAGGCGGGGAGGGACTGAGGTCCAAGCGCCACTATGGACAGAGTCCCTGGCCAAGCATAGACACAGGGCCCCAAGAATCCCAGGCCTGGGAGATGAGGGAGGGTGTCTCATGGCTTCCCCCATCCCACCTGTCCTGCATCCTCATCAAGGTACTTCTGGGCCCCTTGAGACAGTGGTGACAGCTAAGGGTGAGGGGTCAGGGGGTAAGACAGCATGAGCCCTTCATCTCTCTACCCTGAACCTCACTAATTTGCTTCCAGAATTATCTTTAAATCTACATTATTCCCCTATCACTACTCCCCCTGAAACACCTGTGACGGCCTCTCACTGTTGAAAGCATGAAATCTGATTTCCCCCTGCATTCCATCTCTTATATCAGCCTCCCTGCTCAAATGCCCCACCTTCCCTTCGCTAAACCTACTGTTCCACCTGCACTGACCTCAAGCAATGTTTCCCAAACTGCCTCCTGCCAGGAGTTCTCGCCACGCCTTCATGTCCTGCATCACATGCCTTCCTCAAGGTTCAATGCAAATCACACCTCCTCCCCAAAGCCTTCCCTGTAACTCGGCGGCCACCCTCCAGCTGCCTGACAATGCTGTCTCCTCCTCTGACACCTCTTATGAGCACTACTCATCAAGATTGTCCCTTTAGTACCTGGGGCGCCTGACCCCACATGTTGGCTGGTATTGTTTATTTGAATGAACATCGCCTTGGTAAGATGACGGAGCCTGCTCTTCCTCCTAGAGAGAAGCCAAGAGCAAGGGTCAAAAACTCCCAGCCTGAACCTGGGAGATGTCCATATACTGATGAAATGAGAGATCCTCCTCTGGGTTCTGATGCACAGGCCTGGTACCAGATGAGGAAGCCATAAGGGATGCAGAGAGAGACCCAAAGGCGGAGACAAGGGCTGAGGGAGGGGGGATGGAAGGAACTGGGGAGCCAAACCCCTGCTAGGAGCAAGCAGGAAAAGAATGCAGTGTCCATCCTAAAAGAAGGAAAATGGAAGATTTCCTGGGGGAGGAGGGTGCCTGATCTTATCTGCTCTTTACATTCCAGAGGGCCCCTGCTTCTGCTTCCCATCTTAATTAGAGAATACCTGAGAAGCCCTGCACCCTGCAGGGAGAAAGGAATGCAGGCCCTTCCCTTCCCCCACCCAGGCTGCCTCTCACCTCTGACCTCCTGCTGGCTGTGTGGTCAGACTCTTGGGAGCCTGGTTCTGGATCCCTTTTCTGTTTTATGTTCTTTTGTCTGCAGTGGGCTGATCCATTAAGCTGGATTCCTTGAGAGATTATGTGAGAGGGTCTGGGAAGTGTCAGGGCTCCGCTACTGCAGGAGAAAAAAAAAGTATCAGAAAGAACTATTGAGAGAAACAGCCGATTCTCCCAGTCAGTCTGCCATCCTGCCCCGTGCCCCCTCCACAGATACCATTGCCCTCACCCCACCACCATATCATCCAGGCAAGGCACTGACACATCACCAATCAGCACCCACCCCCCTGTCCTCCACCTATGCTGGGGGACTGACACTTCTGTGATAGTCTCTGTGCTCAGGAGTATCAAGCTCCCTGGACAACCTTCTCCTGCATCTCTCTGTTCCTTCTTACAGCTAAGCATCTTAAATATCTTAAATTATTCTCTCTCTCTCTTTTTTTTTGAGAGGAGTTTTGCTGTTGCTGCCCAGGTTGGAGTACAATGGTGTGATCTTGGCTCACCGCAACCTCCACTTCCCGGGTTCCAGCGATTCGCCTGCCTCAGCCTCCCAAGTAGCTGGGATTACAGGCATGCACCGCCATGGCCAGCTAATTTTGTATTTTTAGTAGAGACAGGGTTTTATCATGTTGGTAAGGCTGGTCTCGAACTCCTGAGAGGTGATCCACCCGCCTCAGCCTCCCAAAGTGCTGGGATTACAGGTGTGAGCCACTGTGTCTGGCCTCACATTATTCTCAAAAGAGGTCTATACACAAGCTCTCCCCTTCCTCACCCAGTTCACTCTTCAGCCCCTTGAGGCTGGCCCAGCTCCTGTGGCTCCTCAGAAGCGGCACTAGCCAAGGCTCCCAGAGACCTCCCCGTTGTTGAAATCAGTGGACACGACATTCCTTTTGTTCCCTGACCACTTAGCTTGTAGCAGCTGCACGCTCCCTCCTTCTTGAAACACTCCCCTTTCTGGTCTCCCGGACACCTTGTCCAGCTTTTCTCTAGTTATAACCTCCCCGTTCCTTTTCCTGACTCGTCCTCCTTGGTATGGTCTGTAACTTGATGTTTCTGATCTATAAATTGACCTGATATAAAGTTGATGTTCCTCAGGGCTGTGTCCTCTCCCCTCTTCTCTGATTACTGGGGACTATTTTCTTGAGCCATCTCATACCTTCCCCCTGGTTTTAATTGCATCTTCTATACATCAAAGTCTTCCAGATGGTGATGTCCAACCAGACCTTTTTGTGAGCTCCAGAGCAGCCTCCGGAATGTCCTACTCAATGCCTCCTTTTAGATATCTGTTAGGCATCTCAAATTTAACCTATTCAAAACTGGATTGTTGACCTTAGCTCCTACAGCTGCTTCATAATTCTTGTTCATCTTAGTAAACGACACACCATCCATCTAATTGCTGGTTCTAGAAACCTGGGAATCATTTTTGACATCTCCTTCTTTCTTACTCCACCCTATGGATCTAATAAATTAATAACCCAGCCAGGCTCGGTGGCTCACGCCTGTAATCCCAGCACTTTGGGAGGCTGAGGCGAGCAGATCACAAGGTCAGTAGTTTGAGAACAACCTGACCAACATAGTGAAACCCGACTCCACTAAAAATACAACAATTAGCCAGGCGTGGTGGCGCACACCTGTAATCCCAGCTACTCGGGAGGCTGAGACAGGAGAATCACTTGAACTCCAGAGGCGGAGGTTGCAATGAGCCGAGATTGTGCCATTGCACTCCAGCCTGGGCGACAGAGCAAGAATCTGTCTCAAAAAAATAATTAATAACCCTACTTTCAAAATATGTCCAAATCTATTCCTTTCCCTCCATTCACACCCAGTATCCAGCCTGTAGGCGTCTGTCCTCTGTACTGGCACTGCAACATCTTCCTAACGGCTGGGCTCACAGCCACCAGTAACCACCCAGCCTTCCTCCACACACCAGCCAACATGGTCTTCTTTCAAAATAAATCTTGATGGGCGCAGTGGCTCACGCCTGTGATCCCAGCATTTTGGGAGGCCAAAGTGGGCAGATCACCTGAAGTCAGGAGTTCAAAACCAGCCTGGCCAACATGGCAAAACCTCATCTCTACCAAAACAAAAAAAAAAAATTGGCTGGGCGTGTGGCAGGCGCCTATCATCCCAGCTACTCAGGAGGCTGAGGCAAGAGAATCACTTGAACCCAAGAGGCAGAGGTCATAGTGAGCCGAATTGGTGCTAATGCACTCCAGCCTGCTGACAGAGCAATACTCCGAAAAAAAGAAAATAAAAATAAAAGGCCAGGCATGGTGACCTACACCTGTAATCCCAGCACTTTGAGGGGGCCGAGGCAGGCAGATCATGAGGTCAGGAGTTCAAGACCAGCTTGGCCAACATAGTGAAACCCCATCTCTACTAAAAATATAAAAAATTAGCCAGGCGTGGTGGCAGGTGCCTGTAATCCCAGTTACCCAGGAGGCTGAAGAAGAAGAGTCACTTGAACCCAGGAGGCAGAGCCATTGCACTCCAGCCTGGGCGACAGTGCGAGACTCTGTCTCAAAATTAAATAAATAAAATAAATAAATGAATAAAAATCTCTGCCAGTGGTGCAGACTTGTAGTGCCAGCTACTTGGGCAGCTGAAGTGGAAGAATCACTTGAGCCCAGAAGTTTGAGACCCCCTTGGGCAACATAGCAAGACCACATCTAAAAAATACATAAATGAAGGCCGGGCGCGGTGGCTCAAGCCTGTAATCCCAGCACTTTGGGAGACCGAGGCGGGTGGATCACAAGGTCAAGAGATCAAGACCATCCTGGTCAACATGGTGAAACCCCGTCTCTACTAAAAATACAAAAAATTAGCTGGGCATGGTGGCGCGTGCCTGTAATCCCAGCGACTCAGGAGGCTGGGGCAGGAGAATTGCCTGAACCCGGGAGGCGGAGGTTGCGGTGAGCCGAGATCGCGCCATTGCACTCCAGCCTGGGTCATAAGAGCGAAACTCCGTCTCAAAAAAAAAAAAAAAAAAAAAACATAAATGCATAATTAATAAATAAATAAATAAATAAAACTAGATCTCATCATATCTCTCACCTACTTAGAACCCTTCAGTGATCTAGGAAGCATCCAGACTCCACGGTCAGTGCCCTGGCTCCCTGCAGCTCCACCTTTTGCAGTCTCCCCTGCTCACCAGCCTCCAGCCACACCATCCACTCCACACACACACTCCTGCCTTAGCTCCCTCCCACCTCCTCCTCAGCCATTTCTCTCTTACCTTCCCACACTCAGTCTAAATGCTCTGGTATACAGAAGGAGCTCGATGAGTATGAGGAAGGAACGGGGACAGAGGAAGGAAAGGAAAAGCCATAGTGAGAGGGTGACGCTTACAGCAAGGAGCTGTATGGTAAGGGCAGGGGCAGGTGGAGGGATGAGGCTTCAGAGCTCCCTTGAACTATCCCTTGAAGCATTCTGTAATGAATCCTGTCCCTTTAAGCGTTTCGTAGCAAGACCTGCACCTGTTTGAGTTATCTGTTTTATTTCTGGCACTGCATCATTACAACCATTGGTTTTATTGAATGATGCTGATGCCTTTTTCTTGTTTGTTTTTCTGAGATAAAGTCTCACTCTATCACCCAGGCTGGAATGCAATGACATGATCTCAGCTCACTGCAACCTTTGCCTCCCGGGTTCAAGAGATTCTCCTGCCTCAGCCTCCTGAGGTTCACACCACCACACCCGACTAATTTCTTGTATTTTCAGTAAAGACAGGGTTTCACCATGTTGTCCAGGCTGGTCTTGAACTTATGACCTCAAGCCTCGGCCTCCCAAAGCCACGGCATCCGGCACAGTGTTGACTGGTGACTCCAGCTGGCCCTGAGAAAAGCAGTATTACCTCCCTCTGCCCCCTGGTGGCCTTCTAAGTGCGGAGACCATTGTTCCAGTCTAACCCTGGCTACTAGAATGTGCTTTGATTTTCTGGCTTATAGCACCACCATTTGGCCAAACTTGCTAATAGGCAGCTGCTCCATCCACATTCACCTCCAATTTTTCAACCTTCTCATTGGCAAAGTTCATGGAATCAGAGCCTCTTGGAGCTTAAACAATGGATGTAAGTGCTCCCTGGAGCCTCATCCAAGCTTGCAGTTCATTCTGGAGGGCCACGCTAGAGGTGTAGACAGAATGGCAGTGACCATGGTGCAGGAGTCAAGGAACTGGCTCTGTGAATGTCAGGCATGTGTCCCCCTGGGTTTCCTGGTCCTTCCCTATTTGCCCTTGCCCTGACACTCGTCATCCTCCTTCACACTGCTTCCTACACAACGTTTCTTTGGATTGGCTCAATCCTATTTACACAGTCTTTGATCTCTGCCTTTCTGATCCTCACCACACTTTAAAAAATAAATGTTTTCATTTTTCCTTATTACAAAAGCAATCATATTTATAGTAGAAAATTAGAGGCCAGGCATGGCAGCTCAGGCCTGTAATCCTAGCACTTTGGGAGGCTGAGACAGGTGGATCACAGGGTTGGGAGTTCAAGACCATCCTAGCCAATATGGTGAGACGCCCGTCTCTACTAAAAATACAAAGAATTAGTCTGGCGTGGTGGCGCATGCCTGTAATCCCAGCCACTTGGGATGCTGAGGCAGGAGAATCACTTGAATCCAGGAGGCAGAGGCTGCAGTGAGCCAAGATCGTACCACTGCACTCCAACCTAGGCAATAAGAGCAAAACTCCATCTCGAAATAAATAAGTACTCATCTTACATAGATTCTGATAATATTATTTTCAAGGATTGAATAATGTCCCCTCAATGAACAGATATAACATAATTTCTTTCTTTTCTTTTTTTAGATAGTCTTGCTCTGTCACCAGGCTGGAGTGCAGTGGCATGATCTCAACTCACTGCAACCTCCACCTCTTGGGTTCAAGTGATTCCCCTGCCTCGGCCTTCTGAGTAGCTGGTACTACAGGCACGCAACACCATACCCAACTAATTTTTGTATTTTTAGTAGAGACAGAGTTTTACCATATTGGCCAGGAAGGTCTTGATCTCTTGACCTTGTGATCCTTCTGCCTGTCAAAGTGCTGGGATTACAGATGTGAGCCACTGCGCCTAGCCTGGATATAGCATAATTTCTTTAACCATGCCAGGTGCAGTGGCTCAGGCCTGTAATCCCAGCACTTTGGGAGGCTGAGGCAGGTGGATCACTTGACATCAAGAGTTCGAGACCAGCCTGGTCTACACAGTGAAACCCCATCTCTACTAAAAATGCAAAAAAATTAGCTGGATGTGGTGGTGGGTGCCTCTAATCCCTGTTACTCGGGAGCTGAGGCAGGAGAATCGCTTGAACTTGGGAGGCAGAAGTTGCAGTGAGCCAAGATCATGCCACTGCACTCCAGTCTGGGTGACATGAGTGAAACTCTGTCTCAAAAAAAATTTCTTTATCCAGTCCCCTAATTTGGGATTTCTACTTTGTTTTTAGTTTTCTGCTATCATAAACTGAACTGCAACAAGCATCCCTCTGGCCATTTGAAAAGTAATTTTGTATTGTGAATGTTCCCATAAACAGCATGCTTAGTTCATTAAACTGTGAAGACCTGGTAGTAACTGCCCAGTGCCCCTCTCCCCTCATGCAGAGACACACTTGCAGACTCCAGTCAGCAGTTCTGGCCCCCTCCCCCTGATCAGCACAGTGGATACTTACCTAAATCCCACCCACCTCAGCTCTCAACTTCTCTGGAACTCCCAAGGTCCTTACTCTTTTCTCTTCTTTATTTTATGTTTTACTTTTTTATAGAGACAAGGTCTCGCTGACTTTTTTTTTTTTTTTTTTTTTTTGAGACAGGGTCTAGCTATGTTGCCCAGACTAATCTCAAACTCTTGGCCTCGGGCGAGTGTCCTGCCTCTGCCTCAACACAGTGCTGGGATTATAGGCTTGAGCCACAGTGCCCAGCCCCTTACTCTCTTCTTACCTAGCATCTAAGTATCCATCAATATATTCCTTCAGAAATGAATGATATTTTTACCCTGGTGTTTACGTCTTTATAATAATACCTAATATTTGTACAATGCTTTGTAGTTTATTTTATACAGAGCTACCACTCTTTGAGTGCTTACTGTGTGCCAGGTACTGTGCTAAGAATTTGAAATAAATGATCCCTAAGCTTTCCAAGATAGGTAAGTATAAGCGGTCCCGTGTCACAAAAAAGGAAACTGCTGGGTGTGGTGGCTCACACCTGTAATCCCACCACTTTAGGAGGCTGAGGCAGGCAGATCACCTGAGATCAGGAGTTTGAGACCAGCCTGGGCAACATGGCTCTACTAAAAAAAATACAAAACTTAGCTGGGCATGGTGGCGGGCACCTGTAATCCCAGCTTCTCCAGAGCCTGAGGCAGGAGAATTGCTTGAACCCGGGAGCCGGAGGTTGTAGTGAGCCGTGATTGTACCACTGCACTTTAGCCTGGGTAATAGTGTGAGACTCCATCTCGAAAAAAGAAAAAGAAAAAGGAAACTGGGGTTTAGGACAAGGCCAAATGACATAGTAGAAAAAGCTCTGAAGTCAGACCAGACCCAAGTTTGAATTATTTATTTGCTGTGAGCATCACAAACTGTCAGTTCACTCCATGGATAAAAATCGGATGTGAACACCTCTAGCCAGGGCGTGCACTCCTCAGTCTTCCACAGTTTGCACCACTCCCAGTGACCTACACCACTTTGCACACTTGCCTACCTGAACCCTGACGGTATGTGAATTTGAAAATAGTATTCCATTTGATCTTTATCAAGGGCTTTGTAAGGAGGGCAGTAGCATAACAAAGGTAGGAGGGTAGGAGAATTCCACCCTGAGTTAGGCAAGAACGGGATGTTTAGTCCACAATGAGTTTTATTTTATTTTATAATTTATTTTATTTTATTTTATTATTTCAAATATGGAACGCTTCACAAATTTGTGTGTCATCATTGCACAGGGGCCATGCTAATCTTCTCTGTATCATTCCAATTTTAGTATATGTGCTGTAGAGGCGAGCACTATTTTATTTTATTTTATTTTTTATTTTTTTTAATTTTTTTTTTTGAGACGGAGTTTCGCTCTTGTTACCCAGGCTGGAGTGCAATGGCGCGATCTCGGCTCACCGCAACCTCCGCCTCCCGGGTTCAGGCAATTCTCCTGCCTCAGCCTCCTGAGTAGCTGGGATTACAGGCACGCACCACCATGCCCAGCTAATTTTTTGTATTTTTAGTAGAGACGGGGTTTCACCATGTTGACCAGGATGGTCTCGATCTCTTGACCTCGTGATCCACCCGCCTCGGCCTCCCAAAGTGCTGGGATTACAGGCTTGAGCCACTGCGCCCAGCCTATTTTATTTTTTGAGGTAAAGTCTTGCTCTGTCACCCAGGCTGGAGGGCAGTGACACAATCACCACTCACTGCAGCCTTGACATCCCAGGCTCAAGTGATCCTCCCACCTCAGCCTCCTGAGCAGTTGGGACTACATTCATGCAACACCACACCAAACTAATTTTTTATTTTTTGTAGACATGGGGTCTCACCATATTTCCCAGGCTGGTCTCAAACTCCTGGGCTCAAGGGATCCTCCCCGCTGGGCCTCCCAAAGCACTGGGACCACAGGCACATGCCACCATGCCAAGCTAATTTGTTTTTGTTTGTTGGCTGGTTTCTGTAGAGATTGGGGTCTCACTATGTTGCCCAAGCTGGTCTCAAATTTCTGAGTTCAAACCATCCTCCTGCTTTGCCCCACCCCCCCAAAGCACTGGGACTACAGGCATGAACCACTATGCCCAGCCTTCTGCCTCTCTTTTTTTTTTTTTTCAGACAGAGTTTTGCTCTTGTGGCCGAGGCCGGAGTGCAATGGTGCGATCTCAGCTTACTGCAACCTCATCTTCCAGGTTCAAGCAATTCTCCTGCCTCAGTCTTCCAAGTGGCTGTGATTACAGGCATATGCCACCACGCTCAGCTAATTTTGTATTTTTTTTTTTTTGAGATGGAGTTTCGCTCTTGTTACCCAGGCTGGAGTGCAATGGCGCAATCTCGGCTCGCTGCAACCTCCGCCTCCTGGGTTCAAGCAATTCTCCTGCCTCAGCCTCTTGAGTAGCTGGGATTACAGGCACTCGCCACCATGCTCAGCTAATGTTTTGTATTTTTAGTAGAGACAGGGTTTCACCATGTTGACCAAGATGGTATCGATCTCTCGACCTCATGATCTACCCGCCTTGGCCTCCCAAAGTGCTGGGATTACAGGCGTGAGCCACTGCGCCCGGCAAGTTAATTTTGTATTTTAAGTAGAGACAGGGCCGGGCGCGGTGGCTCACGCCTGTAATCCCAGCACTTTGGGAGGCCAAGGCGGGCGGATCACCTGAGGTCAGGAGTTCAAGACCAGCCTGGCCAACACGGTGAAATCCTGTC